ATTAGTAGACTGAATCACTCCAGACCAAATTTCTAGTCTGCGGGGGATCCGGGTATAGATAAATGGATTCACTGATAGATGGATAGACAGAAAAAAGAAGCAACTAGGTAGACAGATGGAGCAATAGAACGACCACAAAACAGATAGAAACATATCGATAGACAAGAGGAATGATAGATCAATAGAGAGATAAACAGGTTAACAATTCTCCTCTTGGTTTTGAGTGTTCCTTTCTTTTTTGAACCAGTTTTTCGAATTTGTAAAAAGTGAGCTGGAGACCCTTTTTTGGGATCAAAAACGGGTTGCCCAGGTCACTTGCTCAAAATTGGTTCAAAGTGGACAATTGCGAAAATAGGTTGACAGATAGGTAGGAAAAAAGTTAATTATATAGAGACATGGACAGAATCATAGAGAGAAAGGTAGGAAAACGGTAGACAGACGGATAGATTGATTGATTGATTGAGACCGATTAGAATCATCACCAAGAATCAAAGGAAGGAAGGAAGGAAGCAAGAAAGAAAGAAAGAAAGGAAGAACTAGAAAAAATAAAGAAAGAACTGAAAAAACAAAACAAAATAACAAACAAACATATCTTTGAACAAAAACACAAAATAAAGAGGCGGACAGAAAGATAGACAAGCAAAGCCAGATAGGTTAAGCTGAAAGAACAATAGCAGGATAGACAAGATCAATGTATAGAAAAATAGGGCAGCACATAAAAAAATAAATTGCGAAATAAAGAACGACGAAAGAACGAACGAACAAAATAGAAAGACATATTTAAAAAACAAAAACAAAAATGATAGATACGATCGATAGATCGGTAAATCGATAGACAGATAGACAGATGGATAGATGGATAGACAGATACATAGGTAGATACATAGATAGATGATACCCCTTTGCATGTACTCTAAAGATGGGTATACCAAGTACCGTTTAGAATGATAATTTTAGACAGCTGAGGTCTGCGCACAAAGTGTCCAAAAAACAAGAAATCTGATTTTATAGAATGACCAATTCAGGGGGACCTATAGGAACTTGGGCTATTTTTGGCATGGTTCTGATTTGTGGGCCCACAGATCATGATTTTATAGAGGGAGTGTTGTAAGCAATCGCCAAGGGGTCGGATGTACGCCCTGGCGTCCCTTGGGCTCCGCCTCTTTTGCGTGGCAGGCGTGGGACAATGTGCATTTTGCGTGGCAGGCGTGGGGCAATGTGCACTGCCAAGGGGTCGGATGTACGCCCTGGCGTCCCTTGGGCTCCGCTTCTTTTGCGTGGAAGGTGTGGGACAATGTGCATTGCCAAGGGGTCGGATGTACGCCCTGGCGTCCCTTGGGCTCCGCTTCTTTTGCGTGGCAGGCGTGGGACAATGTGCACTGCCAAGGGGTCGGATGTACGCCCTGGCGTCCCTTGGGCTCCGCCTCTTTTGCGTGGCAGGCGCGGGACAATGTGCATTTTGCGTGGCAGGTGTGGGACAATGTGCATGGCCAAGGGGTCGGATGTACGCCCTGGCGTCCCTTGGGCTCCGCCTCTTTTGCGTGGCAGGCGTGGAACAATGAGCATTTTGCGTGGCAGGTGTGGGGCAATGTGCATTGCCAAGGGGTCGGATGTACGCCCTGGCGTCCCTTGGGCTCCGCCTCTTTTGCGTGGCAGGCGTGGGACAATGTGCATTTTGCGTGGCAGGTGTGGGGCAATGTGCATTGCCAAGGGGTCGGATGTACGCCCTGGCGTCCCTTGGGCTCCGCCTCTTTTGCGTGGC